TCTTGTTAATGAAGAAAAGAATTCTAAACCACCCTTCATTCTTCGTTTACAGATCCTGACTCTGAGAAAAACATATAAAACTCTCATGACCTTGGAATTCCACCAAGAAGCCTTTATATTAAGTACCCTTTTCACTGTTTTTTTATACTCCTACTTTTCTCCTACTTTAACTAAAGCCAAAACAAGCGTGTTTATTCACAGTCCTTTTTTAACTTCTACTGATGTCTTTTAAAGTCCAAACACTGACAGCTAATTACTTTCAAAGACCACAGGTTAAGGTAACCAGTAGTGGAGTCAATGGCATTTCTGTTGATTATGTCCCAAAACTGCCTCACCTAATTGGAAACAGTTGGCTAGTAAGATGTGTTTATAACTAACCTCCTTTAACTTTTAAAATCACAAGCTGTGGTGATTCCTGTAGTCCCCTGATGTGCGTCTGGAGTCACCTCTAACACTGACATACTTTGCTTCTGAGGTTTCTTCTGATTAGAGTTTGAGCTTATAAAGTGATGTGATCTTGTCCACAGCTTCCAGCCAAGGGGACCAGAGCACACTTTTATATCTGTGAACAACACATAGAGTGTTTTCTCTCAGCTGGAGTGTGATGAACTTATAAGAAAGTTCTTGTATTTTACGTTCTCTAATAACTATCATGACCTCAACAAAGTGGGAATTTTCCGTTGTTTTATGAGGGAGAGTGTAGGCAGAAAGAAAACAATTGCTCAGATCTTGACTTCAATGCTGGCACATAGAGTTGAATCCACGGAAAGCAGCTAGAAAATACAGCTGTTATTTGGAAGTGAAGCTAGGAAAGAGCCTGAAGGTTTCACTGCACTGTACAGTAAAAAGCCTGAACCATTTGCATCTCAGCCAAATAATTGATCAGTACAAATTTGCTGTATAAATTCTTTTAAGCTTATTTTTAAGGCACAGATTTGTACATGAATTTTCTGTATTCTTGCCTGATTTGCACATTTTCTCAATTACATGAACTTGAAACATTTTGCTTAATACATTATAATTCTTTTTACTCTGTGACGAGATGGTATAATTTTGTAAATTTTAAGGGACTTATTATCCCCTATGCTGCTGGTTAAGTCCATACTGGTTATTGTCCGTCACTGGAAACCTGATCCATGTGTGGAACTGTGCTCACTGGTGTTCACATTGGACCTTACAAACTGAGTACTGAGTGAATTAGAAGGTAACAATTCAGCATGAACTGGTAATCATCCCAAGTGAGGAGCACCCAGCATATTTGATTATTCCTGAAAAAAAATCACTTACTAAGCAGACAGCGCATTCACAGAACATTGGATCCCTCCTTTATCCCACACAGATTAATACCTTCTGAGTCAGGCTTATGTCTGGCTTCTGGGAATAAGGAAAGAAAGGTCTTGTGCTGACTAGTTTTGCACAAACTGGTTGTTTTTAGAGCAGCGGTTTTTACCACAGAGTGAAATGAAAACAGCTGCCGAGAGCAATTTGATTCAAAAAGGCAGTGGCCACTGGTCACAGCCCAGACACATCCGTGGCTCTGCAAAACCCTGGCCTCTGCTGTGCTGCAACCCCTCAGCACATTCATGTTCCTGAACATGTAACACTGAGCGGTGACCCTCACAAGCAGCACTGTGCTGGATCTGAGTGACAAAGAGCAGCTCAGCTGAGCAGGCTCCTCACCCTCTCTACACTCTGCTAGCTACAGCTTGTAGACAAACCCACCACATGCCTTAAGTACAGCTGAGCATGGATTCTGCACTGCCTGTGCTGTAGGACTCCCAAATATACTAGAGTGCTTCCCACACACTGTGGATATTGGGGCCATCTCAGTGCATGGCTACAAGTATTCAGTACAAATGATGAGTAGGGCATGAGCAGCTTAGGCCTGTTTTTACCTATCAAATTGAGGGATTTAGCCTTTGAGGGCAGGATTCTGTGCACATGTCATCAGGTGCTGTGTAGACACTGCAACTCACCAAGCTGCCCTAGTCTCCTCTTTTTATTCAAAACAGGGAACTTTAGGTCACTGTTCACCTGACCCAATTTAGGTCTGCCAACACCCAGTGAGTGCACCAGAACTGACACAACAGGAGTCTCGGGCTGTGCCAACACCCTGGGCTGACTCAGATTTATCAGATGAAGCCCAGCCTGCGGTCTGTGTGTGGTGTGCTGCCCTTACATGTGCTATAAACTGCTTCTGAAAATAAAAAGGACATTTCCCTTCCACACCCCTACACTAGCCCATGATCCAGGGCTGATCTGTGAGCTAACAGGCAGCTCACCTGCCAGAGACTAATTTAGAATGTGCTAGTTGCCTGCTTTGGAGGTGCTGCCTTCCCTCTATCTGATACCTTGGTATTCAGCAGGGAAGTTAAAGGGGATTGAAATAATGAGGCTATTTTGTATCCTTCTTCAGATTAATCCATTCTGAACCAGACCTCATGGAATTTTCTAAAGCGTCTTTTAAAATGAGCATGCTCAGTTCAAATTTCGAAGAGTTGATAAAAGGCAGACATTCTTCAGGCCTGTGAGAAAGAGCCTCTGGTTAGTAGAAACTGTGCTTTTCCCCAAAGGCCACATTTCTTTTGCATTAAAATATAAATAAGTAAACCACATTCTGATCTTCACTGTTTCACACCAGTATTACAAGATTTGCCTGAGATTCGTTTGAAGAGAAAACACATACCTGAATTCAGGTCAGATCACCCTGAGAGGGTTTAACTCCAGAAGGAAGTTGAGTCCAGTTTCCTTTTCCCTGCTGCAGTGCAGTGTCCCTCCACATTATTTCTACTGCTGTTTACAATTAAACAGAGCAGCACTCCCTGAGATCCTCTCACCTCTTGGGTGAAAACCAGAAGAGAAAAATAATTTCTTCCTTCAAAGCATCCTGAGAGTTTCTGCTCCAGGTGCCTGCTCTGTGCTCTTTACCCAATCAAAGACAAAATCAAATGGGCCCAGTAAACCCAAACAAAACCTCATTGAAATTTAAAAGCTGTGTGGATGAGGCAAGTAGGAGCATGGGTTAGTGGTAGTTGACAGTGCTGGGGGAACGGTTGAACTCGATGAGCTTAGAGGACTTTCCCAACCAAAAAAATTCATGATTAAGTGATTCTGTGATTATGAAATCGCCTCTCTCCTGGGCACAGTGGGCAAGCAGGGAAGTGCTGGTTCTGACTCCAGGGAAAGGAGTGGTGGGTGTGCACAGCCCCAGGACAGGGAAGCCCCAAAGAAGAGGGAGGTGAGGAAACAGCACCCAGAGACCAGTGCAAGCAAGGGAAGCCTGATGTGTGGGAGCGCTCCAGCCAACACTTCAAAACAACCAGTGGAACAGAGACACCATATCCATGGGACATGCAACCAAAAAGCACAAGGAATCAATACAACATCCCCCTCACCTGGGCACTTTGGAACCTCCTCTGCTGCAGGCAGGAAAGTGTCATTCCAGCTTTACAGTCATTTCTTGTTGGGGACACAGGGAAAGACAAGCTTTGCTTTTCCCAAATAAAAGGAAGGGGGAAAAAAATAAAAGGAAGAAAATAAGTGGGTAAGGAAATTTTATTTCCAAGTTTCTAAAAGGAACTTACAAACCACAGAGAGTAAAAAAAAAGCATATATATATATATATATATATATATATGTGTGTGTGTGTGTATGTGTGTATATATATATATATAAATATATATATTTGACAGGGTCCTGTTAAGCAATTCTTCACATTACCTAATGGTGATAATGATACCATGTAACCATATATGTGTTTCCCTGCTGACAGCTCACAAAACTCTTCTCAGACAACATTTCTCCTAGACTGTACAGATTTATTTTCTCAAAAGCAAAGGAGAAGGAAAAACTACAAAGTAATCCAGAAGAAAGAAAAAAAGAAAACTCTCTTAAACAAGGTCTTCCAGGCTGGACTGGGTGAGAGCCAAGTTTAACAACTCCTGCAGGGCTATGGGACCTCCTTCCCAGCCTCTCCATGGTACAGAATTTCCTCCAGCACCTATCACTCCCCACCATCCCACCATTAATGCCTTGTGCTACCCTGCTCCCACCCTGCGCAGGGTCTCATCACTTCAAAGGAGCCCCGACTGCCCAGCTGCACCCTCAGCACTGCTTTGCCCTTGCACCTGCCCATCAATCCTAACCTCAATCTTTATTTTTTAGGACTTCCTAACATCTCTGACCATCCAGGAGTTAATCCTAGACCTCCACCTCACCAGCAGCACAGCTTCCAGCTCAGGATGCTATTCCAAGCACCCCTGCAGCAGGAATTCCAGATACTGGGGATGAGAAGGGATTCATGCTTGGCTTTTCAGGCTCTAGCTCCCACATCAGGAAGGCATGGGCTCACGGACAGAACCAACTGCTCCAAACTAGAAAGGACTCAGGAAATAAAGGCAGAGAAAGCTGAGAGAGAGAAATGGAGCTGGGGCAGATCTATGTGCTCCAGATTCTTCCTCACCCTGAAATTTCATGGCAGCTTTCGTAGGTTGCCAAAAATTAAACAAAAACTAAGCGGTACCCAGTTCCCCCATTCCACCCCCCAACAATTTTTTTAACACTTAATGTCCAGCTTAAGTGTTCATCAACAGATTTTAAAATGCACACGGGTGTCAAAAAAGAGACTTAGAAAAATTTTCTTGTTCCTGTTCTTACAGCAAAACCAACCCCAACTTGAGCCTCAGAGGCAGAGGGCTAAAGGCAACATCTTTTGTAGGACTATGTCACCCCACTTCAGAGGTCCAAGGGGCTCCTTGGATCCCATTCCTAGCAGGGAACCGTCGTTGAGGACCTAACAACTCTCGCTGTCTCCAGGCATCCTTCATCCCAGGATGCTGCTGCATGAAGCTGATGGAGGATGGCTCAGCCCTGGGCACCCCCACTCCTCCCTGCACAGCTCAAAAGCCAGGCAGGAAGGCACACACTGCCTTCTTCCTCCTCCACCTCCTCCTCTGCTACACCCTACATGGAAACAGGCAACCACACACACCCCAGTCAGCTGTGTGAAAAAACGTATATATTCAGCACGCACTCAGTACAGTATAGCAACAAAAGCTACCATAATTTCCTTAGAAAACCAACAAACCACCAACTTCAAAATAACCACCAAAACTTCCCAAATCCTCCCCACTCTAGAGCACTGATCCTCAGCCTTCTGGGCCCAACAAGGCACCAGCAGCAAGTGACCCCAGCCCCACGCCATCCCTGCCCAACAAGGCACAGAGGGTGGTCCCAGATCTCTGGCAGCATCTCCTGCCCCAGCACCCGACTCCTCCTGTGGGCTCCGGGGGGCTGAGGGCGCTCCACCAGAGGGGCTGGGCCAGCATTTTGCTGGTGTGCTCTCCCGTGCAGTTATTTGGGGGACACACACATCAAAGAAAATGAGACAAGCTCTGGCTTACAGAACAGGGAAGCTGCCACAGCATCCCTGGGGCTGTACACAGCCCTAGGAATGTGCCAGGGAGGAGAGAATTCCATCGCTGATCCTGTGGGGCTCCATGCTAGGATCGCTGCAACAGTGTGTCTGCTTTCTGCTAGAGGCGGGGATGAAGCCGAAGAGAGGGAAGGAGCGGCACAGTGGTGGGGCTGGGAGCTGGCAGGGCCCTTGCCGCTGCACACAGAGGGGAGGTAGATCGGCTTTGGAGACCTCTTGCCTGGGAGGATGTCTTCGTGGACACCAGCTCGGTTCCTGGGGGAAGAGCCTGCTGCAGGGCCCTGAATCCCTGTGCTTGCCTTCTCCCAAGGCAAAGGTGTCTTGGAGCCCGTTCATGCCACTGGAAAGCTCTCAAACTTGTGCAGCAACTTCTCTCAAAACTTTTTAGCTCTGAAACTGCCACCACAGCTGCTGCAGGCAAAATCCCAGCAGCTGGGGACAAGCCCAGAGGTGATGGCAGTGACATGCCAGGCAGGAGGGACCCTGGCTCCCTCTTGCCCACCTGGCTGGACCGCAACCCTGATCCCAGCCCCTCTCCCTGCCCTGCCACACCAGTCCTGCTGCCACCCCTGCCCCGTGCACCATGGGGATAGCATGCATGATGCTCTCCATCCTCCCCCCTCCCCAGATCCCCATCCCCAGCGTCCCCTCTGCCATTAGTCTTGCTGCTCGTTCATCTCCATGTCTGACACCAGGATGTTCTTCTCAGCAGATTCACTGGGGTTGGAGGTGGTGCGGCTGTAGCGAGCACTCTCGAAGGCGCCCCGCTCTGCGCCCTGTCGGCGCTTGTACAGGAAGACAACGACCCCCAGCAAGGTGCACAGTGCCAGTGTGGACAGCACAACCACTGCGACGGTTGTTGTGTTCTCTGGCAGAGCTGCAGGGAGGAAAAGGCTGTTGAGAGGCAGACAGATGGCTCCTGTTCCCCGCTCAGCCTGCAGGAGAGGCTGAGGCTGGTGGGGCTCCAGCTAGACCCGTGTTTCTGGGCACGGTGATTTAATCATAGAATGTCCCAAGTTGGAAGGAACCCACAAAGGTCACCAAGTCCAACTCCTGGACCTGCACAGGACACCCCAAGAATCCAGCCCTGTGCCTGAGAGTGCTGACCAAACACTTCCTGAGCTCTGGCAGTCTTGGGGCTGACTACCACCCTGGAGAGCAGGACAGGACTGGAATGAGATTAGCTCAGTTGGTTAAGCATGATGCTAGTAACACCAAGGTTGTGGATTTGATTTCCGTATGGGTCATTCACTTAAAGAGCTGGACTCAATGATCCTTGATCCTGGTGGGTCCCTTCCAGCTCAGCATATTCTGTGACTCTGCCAATCTGCTTTGGTGTTTTGTGGACGTCTTGCTCTGGGCAGACCTCCTGGGGCTGGGCAGACTCCCTGGGTCTTTTGTGGTGTGTATGAACATTTAGCAGCTGCCTGGGATGGATCTTTGGGATCCTCCCAGCAAACATGCTGGCCATCCCCCTGACTGACCAGGCAGTGTGGGCACTGGAAGGAGAGTCTGGCAAGCAGCTGGGCAGACACACACCTTAATGAAATGATGGCTCCTGCTGCTGAGGAGTCCTAAGTCAAGGCCAAAGTCACTTGGGAATGGCATTCTCCACCCGTAAACCCCATTCCTTTCATTATTTACATAAGTTGGGCTGTGGCACAGGCTCCCAGTCCTCGTTTCCAGTCCCAGTACTATGCCCAGGCTGATGGTGCTACTCACCTGCCCTGGAAAAGCTGCTCTCCTCCACTGCAATGGCAACATAGACAGGTGAGTGCATAGCCACGACACCCTCCCATCTTCCCACAACCATCAAGTCTGGACCCACACTCTGCACTGCTCCCAGTGCTGCACCACACGGGCAACAGGTGATGAATAGCTGGGCTGGTCCTCTGGCTCTGCTCTACCACTGTTCCATTGGCCCCATCCTGCCCCAAGGAGCTGACACAGCCAATGAGACACATTGGGCGCAGCCCATCACTGAGCCCAATGGAGACCTGTAAACCCCAACACCAACCCATATAAGCCCCTGCACTGGAATTACTGAAAACATGTGGTTGGTGCTGCCACTGTGACAGTTCTGCCATGCACCACCCTGCCCAGACCCCCAGCTCACCCTACATCAGCCCAGCAGCCTCAAGCAGCAGAGGGGGCCCTACCTCGGGGGATCTTGCAGATGACCCCCATGGTTACGTTTGTGCAGGAGCCTAAACGCCACACGCCGTTGCTGCTCTGGATCCAGTAGCAGCTGTTCTGGCTAAGCATGCTGGGCCCCGTGTCGTGCTGGCCCCAGTTGGAGTAGTTCACAGCACTGTTGTCATGCCAAACCAAGGTGCCACCTGGAAAATGGGAAAATTAGGCTTAAGGCAGCTGAAGAGGACACCCCACCTTTGCTCCAGTTCAGAAAGTACAAGGAAGTGTGACAGGGCTCTGGGAAGCCTGGTCTAGTAGAAGGTGGGCCTGCCCATGGCAGGGGGTGAGACTGGATTGGCCTGAAGGTCTCTTCCAACCCAAACCATCCCATGACTCTGTGATTCTATGGTGAGGCAGTGTGATGAGGAGGACCAGGGGCTACAGCACACCTTCCTGAATCTGCAGGCTCCAGTGCCTTGAAGAAGGCTTTGGCTTTGGGTTTCCTATCCCACCGAGCCAGAGGAGGGCACACGCAGTATGTCCAGCACAGCCTGAGACACTAGTGTGCCTGGTCACACTATGGTATGAGCCCTCCTCACTGGTGCCACCACCAAGGGCTTCCTCTGCTCACCACAGACTTGGTGGGAGTTCATGGAGGTGCCTGAGGGAATATCTCAAACCTCATTCCTTCCTTTGTACCTTTGGGGTTGAAGGTCATGCCCAGCCAGGCCCCCTTGGAAAGGCCCTCGTACGCCTGGAGATGCTCCCACACAAAGACATTCTCCATTTCATCCTGGATGGACAACACTGTGCCGCCAACTGCAGAGGGAAGACTGTCAAGGAGAGGCCCAGAACTGCGAGGATTGAGTTAGGGAGCAGCAGTGCCCAACAGGACAAAGTTCAGGACCCACCCACGAACCACGTGATGACTGCGGAACCCTAACATGGAACAGCAAGGAGACAATGGCTGACCAAGGCTGGACAGGGGCACAGGGACAAGGGGGCTCTGCTGCACCCACAAACATCCTGGGGATCTCACTCTTTTCCATTTGCAAGGAAGCATCACCCTCCTTTACCACCCCAGCTCCCTCATACCTTTCTGGCACCTCTTCATGGCATCCTTCTGCCCAAGAGTGATCTCCATGTGGAAGGTGTAGCAGTGATCCCGGAAGGGGATCCAGGACGAGTCCTCCAGCGATTTGGGACAGCTACCACTGTAGGTCCACTTGTGCATGCGGGGGTGACCTGGGAAGCACATGGTATATTAAAGGTGTGGTGGGGCACAGGATGTTGGGGTCCCAGAGCACAAGACCCACAAGGACATGTTCCAGAAGGTCCCTGGTGGGATGCCGTCTCCATCCCTTGGTCACACCCCACCCAGACTACCCCAGGCCACTGGCCAGCACCTGTTTGGAACTGACAGATGCCCCCCTGCAGCCTGGTGTCACAGCCAGCTGTGCGCCAGCTCCCGTCCGTGTCCATGTAGGAGCAGCCAGTGATCTGTTGGGGCTCCCCGTCCTGCCAGTTGGTGTAGATGAGATTCTCCTCTGTCAGCCACGAGTAGCTCCGGCCTCCCTGGAACACCACAGGGAGGAGGTGCCTGGGAGGCTGCTGTGATCCCTCTGGGGACCCGTGCCCCAGGTGCCTTGCCCCCTTCCCTCACCTCATCATTGGCCAACCCAATCCAGAGCGGAGCCTGCAGGCTGCTGACAGCCTGTGTGAGGAAGGCCTGACTGTAAGGGTTGGAGATGGTGGCCAGGGTGGCATTGAGGGTCTCGCAAAGCAGCAGCGCCTCGTGCCACCTGAGGGGTTTCTGCAGGATGCGGTAAGTGCTGTTGTGGTAAAAGAGGGTGCCAGTAGGAGAAGGGGGGAATGGTGCCTGCGCAGGGCTCAGGGCCGGGTCTGGAGGAGAAAAGAGACATGGTCAGAGGGCATGGAGGATGTTCCTGCATCCCAGGTGGGTCACCCTTTTGTCCATCCCTACCCAGGCCAGTCTGTCCCTAGTAGTATTGTGCTGGTTGCACCTGGCAACATCCTGGTGCAACTGGGAAGGGCAGAGGGACATCCTCAGGAATGACAAGCACTGACACCCTAGCACCATCCCCACCTAAGAGCTGTCCACCAGGATGCACGTCCCTGTGGGGACACACTGAGCCAGGTTGGTGTGCACAGGTTTGGGGCTGTCCCACAAAAGGCTGAGATCAGAGACCCACCCACCTAAGTTAAGTCCGTCTCCTCAAGCTAAACCCATTGCTTCAGGTTCCCCAGTCCCATCACAACATGGGGCACCAGGGTGGCAGTGACAGCTCCTCAGCCAAGAGAGCTGGGGCTGTCCCCTCATCCCCCTCCTACCTATGCTCCGCTGGCAGACATAGCCGTGTTTCTCCTCCAGGCAGCTCCGGTCATCCCAGCGTCCCGTGAAGAGGGGGGGTGAGCCATGCCACACCACAACGCAGTTGGTCTGCACAGCCAAAGCACAAGGTCAGCACTGCTCTTTGCACTGTTTTCCTCCACAGCAGAGATTCCCATGCCAGAAACCCCCACCCTGCAGGGCTGCATCCTGCACTGCCCTTGCAGAGCCACCCCAGCCCACTAAATCTTTCCTTTTCCAAGGCTGGGCCTGGCACTGTGGGACCTTTCTGAGGGAAGGGGGTGCTATGGGGAATCTCCCTCACCGGCTTGTCATTGGAGCTGGAGGAGCTGCAGCCTGAGGGCTCTCCAGGTGCCCAGCTCACGTGCTGCAGCGGCTCCCCCTCCACCCACTGGAACTCCCCCTGGGCATCGTGCAGGCCAATCCAGAGGTCCAAGGAGATGTTGGGCAGCATGGAAGTGATGAAGGCTGCAAATGACAGGTCAGAGGCTGAGGACCACCCGTGGCAGATAGAACCCTGGTGGGGTGGTGGGGGTAGAGGAGACCTACCCTGCTCCAGGGGGCTGGCAATGGTGGCCAGGATGGCGCCCTGGCTCTCACACAACTGCTTCGCCTCTGGCCACTTCACTATCTCGCCTTTGTTATGGCCATTGAAGCTGAAACACTGCAGACGCAGGGGCACAGGATGGGCCAGGAGATGCAGCTGACCCCAGTCCTGAACCCTGCACCCTCCCCACTCAGCCACCCTCTGCAGCCCCATTCTGCCACAATGGTCCTTCGCCCCTTCATACCCTCATGCGGGCCACCCCCCAACCCCTCTGCCCTTCCACATCTCTCCTCACACACCTCACCTTCACCATCCCATAGCATGTCTCCCAGCATCCCTGTAAATGCATCCCCCAGCACTCCCCACAAAACATATGCAGGCATCTCCATCCTGCCATTTTGCAGCCACTCTCTCTGTGGCTCCGCAGGGCTGGTGGAAGACTAGGAAGCAGTCGTCATCCTGCCATCCCCTCTCCCATCCTGCTGTCCTCTCTCCCTCCAGTGGTACCTTGCTGAGGAAGGGCAGCCAGCCTTGGGGACAGCCCCCACTTGTGGCAGCAGGTACCGGAAACAAGGAAGGCTTCACAGCTGTCACGTTGCTTCGCTTGCAGATGTAAGGAAGTGCTGTCATGCACTTCTGGTCCCCCCAGTCCTCTGTGGGAAGGGACAGGCTGGGCATGAAGCCCCTCTGCACTGGTACCAGTGCCCCAGCCACTCAGAGCCCCATGTGGAGCCCTGCCCTGCCCTCACCTCGGCTGGCTGTCATGTACACACACTTCCTGTCCTTGCTGATGGGCCGAGGCTTGCCTGGTGCCCAAGAGACAAAGTTGAGGAGGGACCCATCAGACCACCTGGAACAGCATCAGGAGGATGAGCAGTGACTTGGTGAATGGGACCACTTGAATGCCCTAACTGGGAGCATTTTCCACCACTACCCTCTTGGGTGAGGAATCTCCAGCCCAGCACCCCATAATGAGACCCAAGATACAGATGCTGAGTCACAGCACTCTGAGATGTGGGAACCACACTGTGCAGGGACATAGTGGTATGGGGATGTCATGGGCACTGTAGGGTAGGGACGTCCAGGGATACAGTGGCTGTGACTTACTTGAACCTCCCGTCGTTCTCGTAGGTGTGCAGCCCAATCCACCAGTGCTGCTCCTGGCCCCTGGAGAACTGCACGCCCAGAGAGGATATATCAGTGCCCTTCAGGGACTGGAGAGTCTTTGGGGGCAACTGAGGCTGCCATGGGGATCAGACACCCTTCCCCAGCTTGCAAAAGCAAGGCAAAAAACATCACTTTGCTAAGCCCCAAACCCACCCCCAGGCATCAGGACCAGCCACCACACAAATCCATCATGACCCCAGCAAAGCCTAGCACCCCCAAATATGGTCCCTTCAGAAAAGGGTGAAAGAAGGCGAGGAAGAGCACCCACAAGGTAGCAGAGCCCATGGCCACTGGTGCCCTGGGAAGTTCCTGTCCCCTTGGTACCTTCTTCAGGTTCTGGCCCAGGAAGTGCAGCTCGGCCTTGCTGTGCACTGACGTCAGCTCAGCCTGGAACCAGCTGCAGATGCGCTTTGCCTGCAGCCATGTTGAGTGGTGTTCAAAGAACTTGTACTCGGCCTCCTGGTACTTCAACCACTCTTTGCTGCCTGCAGGCACAGATCAGACCTTACACTGAAGCTGACACCCCTGCCATGGTCACCCTGACAGGACATCCACATCCCTGTCTATTGGTCTGCTTTGCTTTTGTCCCTCTCCTGCAATGGAGCTGCAGTGGGATGCCTGGATTCCCCTCCCTCCCACAACCCTGCCCAGGATCCACCCTCTTAATAACACTGCAGCAGACATCCATTGAAGACATCAGGTGGTCTATGCATGACCTGAAGTTGAGCCAGGAGAGGTTGAGGTTGGATATCAGGAAAAGGTTCTTCCCTCAGTGAGTGGTCAGGCACTGAACAGGCTCCCCAGGACAGTAACTATGGCTCCATGGCTGCCAGAGCTCAAGGAGTATTTGGACAACACTCTCAAGCACAGGGTAGGATTGCTGGGGTGCAGGGCCAGGAGCTGGACTCAATAGTCCTTGTGGGTCCTTTCCAACTCAAAATATTCTGTGACCTTGTCAAAAGGCTGTGGCTAACACACCTTGGGTTGTGATCTCTGGCTCCTTCACATCGGCACCTGGAGAAAGGGCAAGAGAAGGTGTCAGTGGGGTGCAGGCTGGGATGCTCTCATGGATGCTTCTCTGCAAACCATCCATGGGCTATAACGGCAGGATGCCCCTCCTGAATTCCCCCAGAAGTGACAGTACCTCTCCCAGTCCTTGAATTAGGAATCACCCTCCCTCCTCCCAAGGATTCTGCCACCCTACAGCCCATGCAGTCACAGCTGATGGTTTTGGGGACCCCTTTGCCAGCACCTTTGGGCAGTTTGCAGATCCAGTCCAGCTGGGCTTCACACTGCATCGGCATCCACTGCAGGGAGGCTAGATCCAGCACTGTGCAGCTCCGGATGTCGTCATCATCATAGTTGCTGCGGTCAAAGTTGTGGTAGAAGAACTGGGGGTTGAAAGAGATGGGCAGTGTTGGTCCCATTCACCAGCACCAGATTCGTCCCTCCCACAACTCAAATGGCCCCTGGACTCACCCCCAGCCCGTCGCTCCACCTCCAGCTCTGGTCCCCAGCAGGGTCCCGCCGGTTCAGGCCAATCCAGAACCAGTGCTGCTCATGAAGCTCCGGTTCTGACTCCCTGTGGGGACCCAGGGGCACATGTGAGTACACAACCTCCTTCAGACCAGAGGGGTTTATACTTCTCTACAAATATATATTTATAATCAAGGCTTTTTCTGTTTGTTTTCAAAGCCTGCCATCCCCACATACCTGAAGATAGGAACTGGGATAACAGGCATGCCATCTCAGGACTGGAGCTGCTTTAAACCCAAGCTCCATCCCCAAATTACACTGAACTTCCTGTGCACCTCCCACATTAGCCACACCAACTGATGCACCTTCTGTACACTGGTCTGTGCTCAGAGAGATCCATCCATCCATCCATCCATCCATCCATCCATCCATCCATCCATCCATCCACTCACATCTGCTAGATCACCAGGAGGGCTGTGGGCATGTGGCAAGCACACACCAGCAGTGGGACACACTGATGCCCCCAGCCTCTCACCCAAAAATCTTGTTGAGGGTGTTGGCAACAAAATGCTCCTCCTCATAGCTGCCTAGGCTGAGCAGCTGGGCTCCCAGCTCCCGGCAGAATTCCTGTGCAGCGATCCACGTCTTCTTCTCTTGCAGCTTTTCGAAGTTGAATACCTGGGAAAGGAAAAACCCACAGCATGGGAGGCTCAACAGCAGAACAGGAGCAGAGCCTTGTTCCAACCTGCAGGCAGCCGTGTCCCAGGACACAGTGGCGCCATCCAGCCCCAGCCAGGGTTGTGGAGTGCCTCTTGCAAGCACCAAAACGTGCCCCTCACTCCCCTGCCCAGGGGAGGCATGTGCATCCCCACACCAACCTGTCCAACCCCCCTTCACCTTGTAGCAGTGACGAAGTTTGGGGTTGGAGCTCCATCCTGGGGGGCAGTTGGCAGTGAGGCTGGGCGTGGGGAAAGGACTGGGCAGTTCAGGATTCACTGGGGTGCCCAAGTTCTGTCGACAGATGTACTTGGCCTTGAAAGTGCTGCAGTTCTTCACCTCCCACAGCCCCATGGAGCTGCCAGTGGCCAGGGCCACGCAGCCACCCTTGTTGTAACCTGGAGTGCTCACAAGAGCAGGGGAGATGCCAGCCTTAGAGTTGGACTGTTCTGGGGGGCAGTGCCAGCCCTGCCCTCCATGGAAAGGGAGTCTTCATCCCACCCCCATCCCTTACCAGGCTGGTTGCGGTTCCAGTGAGTGTACGTCACCTCATCACCACTCAGCCAGTGGAATGCACCTGTCTCATTGATGTCCTGCAGAGCTGTCCAAAAATACTCCCCATCCCAGCCATAGATGAGACTGCTCACATATGCCTGCTCGAACCTGAAGGGACAGTGAGAGTGGGATCGTCTACTGGGACACTGAGCTGCCCATGATGCTCCAGCCCTTGGAAGTCACTTCCTTGCAGGGCTTGTTTTGGGGCAAACCCACCACCACTGGCATGGCACTGACCTGTTGGTGATGGTAACCAGCGTGGAGCTGTAGTCAGAGCATGTCTTGCGGGCATCTCTGTAGGGGACATGGTCCTCGCCCAGCCAGAAGCAGGATGGGCTGTGCCACTTCCAGCCCTGGGGACGGGTGACAGGGAACATCCACCACTGCCCACCTGGACCTCCCCAGAAGGATGGGAGCAATCCCAGGGCACGAGAGCAACATCCCAAGTTCCCCACCACCGCCTCTGCCTTCTCCTGGGAGGTCTCCTGCCCCCAGCTGCCCCAGCTTGACCCCGCTCAGCTTTGAGTTTCAACAAGCCCCTGGCCCCAGAGGACATGGCTACAAGGGAAAACAAACACCCAGGCAGCTTCAAAGCTGGGGAAACAGCTCTCTCTGCCAGCGTCAAGCCCCGGCCAGGGAGCAGGCAGGGGAACACAATCCTCCTCTTTACACTGCAGGACTGAGTCCAAAGCGAGTACCACCACAGCCAGCTTTAATCCCCTGCCTTGTTGATGTTGGAGTCTCTCCGGGGTTAGAGACACAATAGTGTCTGTTTTCTGCCAGAGCAGGGAGCAGGGTGGCCCTGGGGGTGGCAGCAGTGGTGGAAGAGTCAGGAGGGACATGGGGACTCATGTGCAAGAGGGGACACACACCCTTCACAAGGGTGAAGAGGCTCAGCCAAGGAACCAAGTTGCTCCAGGATCATGGACCCCCTGGAGGGGGAAGCATCACTAGGGTTCCACTCCTGAGTCCCCTGGGCATTGGAAGGACAGTGGGGGCACATGCCATATGTGTCATCAGTGCAGTGTCATCAGCACAGTGGGGAAGGAAGCAGGACAGCAGCTTTGGGAAATGAAAACCACTGCAAATCCCAGTTTTTCCTCCAAGTTCCTGCTCCTACAGCCTTTCTCCGAAGCTGGCAAATCCAGGTACAGACTCATAAGCTGGGTCCCTCCGGAACAGCATAGATGCAACTGAGCAACCAGGAAAGGAGGCCTGTCCTGGGACAATGCAAGGTCCCCAGATGGGTCCCCAACCAGCACCAGCCTCAGCACCCCTAATACCCCAAGGGTGCACTCCCACATACAGCACCACAACTAGTCCCTGTGATCTAAAAGAGGACCAGGACAGGATCCCCAACCCCACGTGCTGCCTCCAGCTTCCAACTCCAGTGTGCCCCCACATCCCTCCTGATCTGCCTTTACCATTGCCCAAACCTCTATACTTCATTGCTTCCTCTTTAAGACTCTTCCTGAAATAAAGAAGATTTTTTAAAGGGGGAAAAAGCAGCAAGGCCACCATGAAAAACCAGCACAGTGGCTGGAGTGGATAGAACCAAATGCCTGAGCAAGATGTGCCTCCTCCCCACCAGCTTCTGCCTCTGGGTGGCAAAAGTCCTCATTGAGAATGAGTAAGTAGAGGAAGGATGGTTCTTGGTTCATTTGTCCCTTGCATTGGTTCATTGGTTCATTTATCCCTCACAGTTCGTTTCCCAGTGCATCTCTGCTGGGCACCCAAGGCCAAGCTAAGACTGAGGCTGGAGAGCCAGGAGGGAGTTAAATCTCCACAGGGAGTCCTCAGGACCGCTTTGGGGACACACAGATACACAGTAGCAGAACTCTGCAACTGAGTGTCTCATCCATAGTACCTGCGGACACGGAGGCTCTTCCAGCTACGTCTGGCTGCCCTCAAATCTGGCTCTGCATGACAGCTCTCCTGGCTGCTGTGCTCCCCCAGGCTCTGGCATAGCCAAGCAGCTGCTTGAAATGGGGCTGGGACACCGGAGGAGCCCAGCAGCACCTCTGGGAGCTGGCCTGGAGTGGCTGCTTGCTAGCCAGGGCACAAGCATGCCGGCCAGCTCTGAAAGGCTGGGAGAGGTTCAAGAGCCACGCGGCTGCCAGACTCAGTGCTTGGAGGCTTTGCAGAGAACCACAAAAATCACTTCCCAGCAAGCGTGGGAACAGGCCGGCTTCAGCCCTGTGTGACAGCTGGGGAAACCGAGGCAGGGCACAGGCTGAGTGAGAATCTGCTGGTTTAGTGACCCCAAAATGTCCATGCCCTGCCTGGAGGAGGCAACCTGCCATCTTGTCAAGGCGTAGGGCTGGCAGCCACCTCCATCCTGCCAGGTTCCCACGTGCTCCTGTGTTTTAGCACAAAGAGAGGGAAGGGGGGATAAAATGAACATCCCTGCTGGCAGCCAAGGCTGCCTGATGGGGAAGAGTCTTGGACAATGTGCCCAGACGCATGTGTTTTGTGTCCCAATTTCCTCCCATGGACTCCTCTACCATGGCAGCGAGGGGCTCAGCAGCCCCAGAGTGCTCCAGCTCAGCAGCTCTCAGGCACACACCAGCTGCTCTGGGTGCTGCTCATCAGCGCTCTCCTAAATGGTTTTAGGGAAAGGTCCCCTTGAAGCCTCAAGCTTCATGCAGAACCATGGAGCAGCCAGAACTACTGCTGCCCCATGTGCCCCTCACCTTTCGGCACCCGTGGTCATCCTCCTCCTTCTCCTGGCTCACCCGACCAGGCTTTTTGCAGATGGAGGGCAGGGTCTGGTTACAGGGGCTGTCATTCCACCTCCCCTCCTGCAGGATGGTAAAAAAAGTGGCAATGAGCCCATCTGACAGCCTGGGGAATGTCCCAGTCCCTTCATCCCTACATTGGGTCCAAAGACTTTACTCCCCTACACCAAATCCCCAACCAAGATGAGACAGATTCCTCCCATCCCAATGGCTCACATGAGCTAGCTAAACCCAGCTGGAGACACTCCCTGAGGAATGCCTTCCTCAGTAATGAGCATGCTGCAGTGCTCCCTGCAGAGGTGCAGGATAACCCCCCATCCCCTCCGGGCTCTCACCGGTCCCCAGATGGTAACACAGTCCTCCAGGCTGTCACGGAAGTTGTTAGGCTCAAAGGGGTGCCAGTACGTGAACCTCACAGGTGTCCCATCTGACCACTCAAAGTTCATTTGCAGCTTGAGGTCATTTAGGCCAATCCAGAGCTCCTCCACATCTGCCAGGACAGGAAGGGAGGGAGTGAAGTTCGCTCCCCCTGGCTGACCCTGTGCAGACCCCCCATGACCTCAGCCCTCATGATGGAACTGGTCTCTGCACCAGCACCTGCCAAAACCCACTCAGGGCTCAGCTCTGAACTCCTTGTGCCAGTGGACACCAGAGGGCAGGACAGGGCAAGGCAGCTCCTTCCTGCAAGGATGGACCCCTGGAGTAGGAAATTACAAGGACATGGACCCCCAGAGTGGGAAACACAGGGACATTTGCCTGCAGCTTTCAGAGAGGGGCTAGCAGTATGGGAGTACAAGTCCAGAACTGCAAGCTCAGGTCCAGTGAACTACTGGTTTTCAACCATTCCTTTCCAGCACATCCCAGTCTGCTCCCAGCATGGGGGCAGCAGTATTTCCTCTCCTTCCTCCACTCTCCTATACCTCCTTGCTGGCCTCCTCCAGCAAGTCCAGCAGGATTTTTTCCCCATCTTTTCCTACATTAACTGGCTGGGACTAGCACTATTCCCAGCTGCAGCTGTGTAGTTTTGACTTAGCACTGCCTGCTCTGGGAACAGGTTTTACATTTGCTGGATGGAGGACGCACCCAGATTATAGGCTCCTCCAAGGAACACAGCACCCCCCAGCCTGGGACCTCTGCTCCCTGCACAAGCACAAAGTAAACTCTGCAGCCTCCAGCACATCCAGGGACTTTTCCATGGACCCCATAAGACAGGAAAGGGGCTGCTAGCACAGAAAGCTCCTCTTACCTTGCTTGATCTCCTTGGTGACAAATTCCAGCTCAGAGAGCGTGTGGATACTGACCAAATCACCCCCACTCCGCAGGCAGGTCTTCTTCGCCTCCTGCCAGCTCTTCTTCTCTCCTACCAGTCGGTAGCAGTTGGACTGGAAGGGCTGCCAGCTGGGCTCACAGTCCACCTTCACCTCTGACCACGAGTCTGGCAGGACACAAAGCAGCCTGAGGGTTCCTGCCCAGCTATCCAGCCCTCTCCTTGGCAGGGAAAGGACCACAGTCCTACGGGTGCTCAGCAGGCGAAGCCAAAGCCGCAGTGGGAAAGCCACAGCCAAAACATAATAGGCAGTGCAAGGTGTGGGAATGGTGTTTTCAGAGCTCCAGGGACAAAATAAAATTCCTTCTGTCTGCAGAAGAATGAGGACAGAGCAGAGAGCATCCCCTCCCCTGGGGACCACGGGGACAAGCTGCTCTCTATCCCTCCCTTACCATACAACCTGGAATGGCATAAAGCACTTCTTGGAAATGTTCCTTGGGGATGACTTTTCCTAAATCTAGGGAGCTCAAGCCCTGCTCTGCACACTTAGGACACCAGCAAGCTGAGGATACCAGGGGCACCCATATGGGCAGCATCCCCCGACCATGCTGGGGTGGGAGAACCAGATGGGTTATGGAGCTTGCCCATTCCCAGTGCTGGTCACCCCCTGCTCACCCGCCAGGAAGGGGTCAGCCGTGGCGTTGGGCTTCTTCTTGCAGACGTAGGGGAGGGCGATGCCACAGTCGCGGTTCTGCCATCCCCCGGATGACTCGGTGCGAATCACCCCGCAGTTCTCCTCACTGGGGTTGTCAGGCTGGTCTGGAGAATGGGATAAGGAGGGGACAGGCTACTGGGGATAAGGAGGAGTCAGGACAGAGCCACCAATGCAGCTCTCCCGGCTTCAACACCATTAAAACGCCTTTTATTTTGTTATTTTGCATGACGAAGACATGACCCCAGGATTATTTATAGTGCCCATGATTATTTATAGTCCTCAATGCACAAGAACCCAAAGGGTCACTGTTTCACCTGGAAATATCAACAGCAGTCAAGGGGTCAAAATACCAGACCTGAACTTCTCCCACCTGTCCTCAAACCTACTCCAAGAGTATCACTGTTTTCCCCCAAATGCCTTTGGGTGATGGCACCAGGCATGATCAATGGGCCCTCTTCCCTCTGAGTACCCCAGGGTGAGGGATGGGTGTCTGCAGCTGGGAACCATTCCTCAGCCACACTCCAGTACTAAGCAGGGATGCAACAACTCGCCAAACAACGAATGACAATCCACGTTATCCACAGGGTCAACGAGTGTTTGCAGAGGGCCAATTCCCCCTTAGCACCCTGTGTCCCTGCTCCAGCTCCACAGAGATCCCAGGCTGTTACACAGGCCCCTGGGGCTCTCTGTCCCTGCAGCAGCCTGGGCCACCTCCCTTGCCATGGAGCCACCTCTGGTGATCACTGGGTGTTCCTCAAGCCCCATCACCACCACAACCTCCTCTGTCTCACCATTCTCCCAGTTGAGGTACTTGAGGGGTGAGTTGTCTGACCACTGCCAGCCTCCATTGATGTCCAGGTCATTCAGGCCAATCCAGAGCGTAGAGCTGTACCCAGTCAACAGACCTGGAGCCAACACAGCCAGCAGGACAGACTCAGTCCCCCAGCCCAGCTCAGTCCTCAGCTTGTCACCCTCTCAAACGTGGGGCAAGCAGAGCAAACTGGCAGTGGCAATGCCCACATTGCCATCAGCTCTGCTCCAGATGAGGAGTACACAGATAGGCTGCCAGAATCTCACCATTGATGTAGGTCTGCTCATGGATCTCTGTGATGCTCAGCAGGTTGGCCCCTTGCTGCTCACAGCTATTCCAGGCTTCCTGCCATGACAGGGTGGACTGGAAGTTGAACTGGTAGCAGCTGTTTGTGAGGTGGTCCTTGTCCCAAAAGGTCTCACAGTCATTGCCTGTGGGGATGAGCAGGGTGAGCACCCAACACAGACACAAGAAAATCCTCAATAACCCAATAAACCCCAACAACGTGCTGCTCTGGCACTGCAGACTGCTTACAGGGGGAGACAAGAAGCCTGGAAGTCCCTAAGAGGGGATTTGGGGTTTTTGCTTTTTTCCATGGGATGTGCCCCCCTACTTACTCTTTATGGGGCAGAAGCCCCACCGCTCATCCTTGCCATAGTCCTGGGTGGTGGCACACCAGAGGTGCCCATCCTCCCGTCCTGTGCTGGTGCACTCGTGAAACCACTGGTTGTCGTACTTGAAGGGGATGGTGCAGGGCTTCCCATGGGAGTTGCCCTGGATGGTGTAAATCTCTGAGAGAAAAGAGGAGGCCTTGCCTGAGGATGTGTCTATGGGGGCTGGAGGGAGATTTGGAGTGAGGGGTGCAAGTTGGCCCAGTGTGGGGGGCTGTGCGGTGCCCGGAGGCTTCCCACTCCCCATCGCCCTGATCCTGCCTGGTTCTGCAGCCTCAATAAGCTGGGGCTGAGCTTCCCAGGCAGGACCCAGTTGCTGCAGCACCACAGACTCAGCTCACATTTTGGGGTTGGTTTGAGTTACAGGAAAACACCAAGGAGGCGTTACCAGAGTAGGACATGGAGCACAGATCTTCCTCGGTGCCGTACGTCCTCCACTGTGAGCCATGCACCTGGTCCCCCCTGTCCAGGGAGGAATTGCCCAGGCGGGCACCCAGATGCTGCGAGAGCTGCTCCCCGAGCCCGCGGCAGCTCCAGCGCATGTTGACTGACTCACGGTCACACTCGTAGGTGGCCAAGAGGTGCAGCCCTGCTGTGGCATTGGTCCCATGCCATGATACTCCCAGGCACTGCATGGCCCCCACATTGAAGAGGCGATTTCGGGAGACCCATTTCCACTGCTGGGCTGTGGAACTGGCGTTGCAGCCCTTGGCCAGTCGCACCAGCGAGTCCTTGGTCTCCAGGCAGCCCTGCGTGCCCGTGTTGTAGATGAGAAAGACTTTGGAGTCTGGGGAGAGAACAAACAGAAAGGGTGAAAGCATTGAGGGGTGAGATTCAGTATGTGCCATGCATGGCCCTGACTCTTGACAGGATATTCTGGCTCTGTGCAAAGCAAGTTTTTGTATGCATCCCTGGGCACAGCACCTGGCATGCTGGGGACCACCACTTCCCTTCAGCACTGACTCAGGGTTTGCCCCAGTGCCTATTTCCGCTGGTGGGCTGCGGGCAGAGTGACACAGGTGGGTGTCTGTATCTACTGTGGCATCACCAAGGGTGGCTCCTGGGCATGGGACCCAGCACAAAGTGCGCACCCATGCTAACTGCATTGCTAGAGCTGCTCAAAACTGACCTCCCATGGGCAGCAGTTGGCTGCAGCATTCCCAGGCATTGCCATGCTGCCCGTGCTGAGAAGCCAATGGCTTCGGCACCACCCATCTGCCCCAAACAGAGAAAAACAGAGCAGGGAAACAGTGCATCCATCACTGCTGTGATGTGTGTCTGGGGACCTGCTAAAAACTATGGAGCAAACAGGAACTGCTGGGGAAGGTCTCCCATCCTGTGAAGGAAAATGCCTGAACAGCCCCAGTCCCAGCAAATACAAAATGTCATGTCAGGACTCTTTGGAATCCCAGCCCACGCACTGGAAGGCAGAAGCCAAGTGAGGGGAATTGTTGCCAGCAGACAGAGGTGCAGCCGATGAGGGAAGACAGGCCGAGATCAACCCTAACTCCACACACATCCCACAGTCCTGCCTGCTGCTACGGGCCAACCATGATTCCCCAAGAAAATTCCCTGAACCCCACCATGTGACTTTATCCCAAAACCTGCACAAACCAGTAAATCCCAGACATTATGCTGGGACATGCTGCTCCAGCTGATGTGTCAAGTTTAAAAGACACTTTATTTCTTTAAATAAATGTTTCTAAGCTAAAAAGCCACCTCAGGGCTTGTCACTGTCTCTTCTTATCCCAACACCCCAGCAAGAATCCTCCTAAAGCAGCACATCAACAGCAGCACTTTTGTTGTTCTTTGTTATAAAACACCAACTTTTTTTCCGCCACAAACATTCACCAGAAGTCCAAGTGAACTCACGGGCCCCACTATATTTAGCTTTGGTTTGCTTTGGTTTTTTGCCATTGTATGAATTCTTTGGGCTGAAAAGGTTTTCATTTCCTATTTCCCCACAACCTCACCCTGGCCCAGCTCAGTTGTTACAGACAGCTCCTGCACATTCAAGCAACAAATATCTTGATTCACAGAACTTTTCTGTTCTGTGTATGAGAGGAAAAAAGAAGTGGAGGAAGACAGACATTTCCATTTCTTCTGGGAGTTCCAGCATCGACCCAGCTTGTGTCCAAAATTATGTCAGAGGCCCCTTCCCCAGCCCAGATGACATTTTTTTGATTATGTCAAATGAACAAACGTGAAGCTTGTTTGCAGGGCTTTATTTAATTTTAAATATTTATTTACTATTTAATTAATTTAATAAAATTAAATTTTATTTAATTAATTTATTTATTTCATGTTAATGAAACATTTCATTTCACTGAAAACATTTTTAAAATCATAGCAAGTGAGAAAAGAAGCAAAAATCTAGACAGGGCTGATTCTGGCTGGCTGAAGCTCAGGCTCCTTAAGCTGGTGCTGGTGTTTCTCCAGCTGGAACTGGCCTGATCCCGACCTGGACAGTGGGAGACCAACTCCTCTCCCACCAAACACCTTCTCCCTATGCCAGCACCACCCATGCCACAACCAGCCCATTGCTTTCCCCTTCCTACCTACAGAGAGGGCAGTGAAGCCCCTCCAGCACCAGGGCTGTGGGGGTCTATAAGCAGGTTTGGGTGATGCAGCATCAGTGCTGTGACCCACTGGAGAAGGATGAGGCCTCCCTGGGGCCTGATACCACAGTGGCTCCTCTGCAAGGAGCCAAACACCAGTGCTTTGCTCCTTAGAAAGAAAAGCTGCTCTGCTATGAGCATCAACACAGACAGCAACAGCAACAGGACATCTGTGAGCCCTGTCTTTCAAGAAAAAATTAATACCAGGTTGGAAAAGCCCTGGAGCAGCTCAGGAATCGGTGTCAGGGTGCTCAGTGCCACACTGGGGCTGGCAGCACCATGCAAGGGCCACACTCACCAGTGGTCCTGCAGTGGCACCACATTCAAGGAAGCCATCCAGACTGGAGGGGGCAGGCCTGGGGCCAGAGAAGCACAAAATACCATTTTACTCTAAAAAGAGAAGAGCTGGAGGTAGGAAATTATAGGCTATGGGATTTGGGCAGCCCCTGCATGCCGCAAGCAGCTCAGCCCATTGGCTCACAGAAGACAGGAGAGGCCACACAGTGTCCCCAGGGTCAGCTGGGCCATGGAGGAAAGGGAAAGCTCCAGCACCAGATCAGCCCTGGCATCCCCCTCAGCTCTTCCAGCAAAACTGCTCGCTGTGCACTGCTGGGGAGGAGCTGGGGGATGACCTGCATGAGCTCAACACAAGGCAGCAAAGCGGTGTTTCATCAAAAATACACCTTTCTTTCCCTAATTTCTATGGAATTTGGAATAGACTGGGTCTATGGTGTCCATGACATTGGCAGTGGTGCTTGGATAAGCTCCTGGGCACTGAAAGGAGCATTCAGCATTTCTGACCCCAGGATACATGTTTAGTTGGGTGGGAGGAGGCAAGTTTGGATCAATGAATCCCTTTCCCCAAGCTGGTATTCTGCAGAGCAAACCCGATCCTTGCCGGAGGTGGCTCCAGAGCAGCATCCCAAAGAGACTGGGAGTGTCTCCATCCTTTCCAGGACCTGCTGTCCTGCACTACCCTCAGTAGCCATGGCACAGCTATGGCTGACTCCTTCCAGAGATGTTCCTCAGGTTTAGGTACCCACCTGTGGACCTGAAATCACACATGCAGAACTTTCCAAACACCGCCCAGTTATGCAAACCAAATCACATCAACACCTGCAGATCCTTCCCAAAGAGGGGCTGTCCTCTGGCACAGGACAAAGAAAACACAACCCTGCTGCATGATCTGGCTGAAATCACCAAAATTAAACCAGGGCTGGTATTGGCACACTCCGTCCCTCCCTCCCTCCTGCATCCTCCCTCTTTTGAGCAGGGCCAGCTTGGAGCAGCTCTAACCCATCGCATCCTGGTCCTCCTCCTCCTCTGTGGAGGACTTGTGAAAGCAAAGCAAAATCCCACACACTTCCATCAAGGATGGTGCCTTGCTCCAGCCATGCAGCTGCTGGGATGCTGCCTGCAGCCTGCTGGTGGGATCACAGAAAGTAGCTGGTGCTACAAGGCAGTGTGATGGTGGGGACAGGGGGAACTGGGACTGACAGCAGGACACTGGCTCTGCCAACAGAAACACTCTCCTCACCCACGTAGGAAATACTGGGTGCTCATGCCTGAGCACCACAGGAGAAATTGGCCTTGGCACTGGTGGCTGAACACTGCAGGGATGGAGAAGCTGCCATCTTTTGAGGCAGCCCTCAAGGGAGCTTTTATACCCTGTGCTGGCTCCAGGTTCTTTTTCTTACTCAAAAAAGCAAGTTCTTGGCCAGCAAGAAGCCTGAAATGAAGGAACTCAGCTCAGCCCTTTCCACAACGGCTTTACCATCCTGAAGCAAATATGGAAAACTGCACAAACTTTCAGCTGTTTTGGGGACTGTGGGCAGCACTGGATGAGAGAGGCCACAAGGACAGTGGACAGAGAAAGCCCTGCAGCACAGCATGGATGGGCATCCTTGGCATCACCCAGCACATTCCAGCTCAGCCACTCACAACACCCAGAGCATCCCTGCTCCATTGCATTTGTCACCCTCCTATCACCAGCAGGGAGCAAATTCAAAAAAGGACTCCAGCCCCAGTTATCCTGGACTGGAGCAGCTCCAGGGCTCTGGCTTCAGTTACAACTGAAGGCAAATACTGTCCCCAACGTGTCAGTGCTGCCAGGCTCTGATACCACATCCCTGCCAGCCCCTGCCACCTCTCTGGCTCCTCGCTGAGGGTGATCATGGCACCGTGGGATGCCAGAGCCCCTTGCAAACCTCTGGAACTCATCCCTGCCCTTGTTCTCACTCAAGGTTCCCCTTTATGTGGGATGTCCCAAAAAACACAGCTCCAAGTTGCTTGTGCTGGAGGCTGAACACCTCCAGAGCCACAGGGACGGATTCCCCTCGGAGATTCCTGTGCTGCAGACACACGCTGGATTTGATTTGCTCCAAACCAGCCAGTAAAGGCAGCAATGCCTTGAAGCCCACAAGGTGCCCATTGCTGCCCTCCATGCCAGCAAACAGGGCTCCACTGAGACTCATGAGCTCCCTCAGGGGCTGCAGCCCTCTGTGCTTGCTAACACCTTCATTTGGATGTGTGAGCCCAGGAAAAGGTTTCACCTGTAACGTCCTGCAGCAAGAAACCCACCCTTCACTTGCAAGGTGAAGAAAGGAATCCCCGTTTCAGCCTGAACCTCCTCATGTAATGTTTCTCACCTGCCAGCAAACAGGGCATAGCAGCCCCAAGCCACCTACTCCAAACCACCATCTTTTCAGCCCATTTTTGCAGCCCAAGGGTGAGCAGTGGCTCTGAAACCCACATGGCCCTGATGAGTGAAAAACTGGGAACTGGGAACTCATTCACAATAAACATGGAGGGGATGCACCAAGTATGGGGGAAAGATCAGCAGCAGAGAAGAAAAATTCCCCTGGCATTAAAAAAAAACATAGAAAAATATGACCAAAAAATAGAGTCAGGCTGGAAAAGCTGGGGATGTTCAGCCTGGAGAAGTTTCCACAGAGACCTCAGAGCTCCTTCCAGTGCCTGGGGCTCCAGGAGAGCTGGACAGGGACTTTGGACAAGGGCCTGGAGTGACAGGACAGTGGCTTTAAGCTGGAGGAGGGCAGGGTTAGATAGGAAGAAATTCTTCCCTGTGAGGATGGAGCGGCCCTGGCACAGGTTGCCCAGAGAATTTGTGACTGTCCCACCCCTGGGAATGTCCAAGGCCTGGTTGGATGGGGCTTGAAGCAGTCCATAGTAGTGGAAGGTGCCCCTGGGTCTGTAAGGACCCTTTCAACCCAAGCCATTTTGGGACTCCACAAAGAACCAAAAATCATTGCTCATGGAACACAGGAGAGTTTCACCTGACAGAGCATCAGCTGGGCCCAGCTTGCACAGCCCTGAGGAAGAGAAGGAACTGCTGGAATGGGGAGAGACCAGCCCAACAATTCACCTTCCAGTGACATTTGGGAGGGGAGGACCCCAGGACTGCCCCTGACCATGCCCAGGCAGTTCTGCTGAGGGATACACCAGGGTCACAGAAAAGTCCCAACTCCATCTTGAATTTCATATTACTGGACAAATTATTCCTCTGGAGGAAAATCCCCTTGCTGGAGAGAAGTTCCCAGCAAAGTCCAGCTCCAGCAATCAGCGCAGGCATGGCTGATGCTTACAGTCTTGGTATGGAGAAGAGCAAAAAGCACAGCCACTGCCATGAAGAGCACCAACTTTTGGCCAAAGGAAAGAAGCCTGTGCATCCTTCTATGGGTTGGGAATGGAAAACAGCGATAAAAGCATCAGCTGTGCCCATGGGAGCTCCCAACAGCAGAGCTTGAGCATCCCTGCTGCCAGCGATCATGGGACACGAGAGCATTCCCAGCCTGCAGGAGGGACATCACGACTCCACCTCACCCCCAGCTGCCTCTGGCATTGGTAACTCCATGCAACTCCTTAGAGAGGAACTTCAGACTAAAAAAAAAAAAAAGGAAGGAAATGCAGCCGTTCTGGCAGGCCCAGGACATGTCTGGCTCAAGAAAGGCACCAGTCCTGTCTGCTCCTGAGCTGAGAGGAGACACAACCCCCACCCCTGACACTCCTAAATCTAAATTAGAGGTTTACAGCAAATGAGCAATGATGCCCAACATCCCACAGCATCAGTCAGCACAGCACAACCCTGAGGCTAGGCTGGGGCCAGAAGCAGCTCTGGGTGCTCCAAGCCAAGCTTCAGAATAAAAGAGGGTGGTTGTTGTTTTGTTTTAAAAACAGACCTCAGGGAGGTAAGGACCTCTTGCTGCAAAGAAGAAAGTGAAGTTTCTGATAGTCTGGCTATGGAGGGTATGGAGAGGCTGGATGTCCACTTGGAGCTGAGAAACTTCTCTTGGCTGGCCCAGCAGACAGAGAGAAGCTGTTGTTTGTACGGTAGGAGCTGTACGTGATGAGCTCCTTACTTGGCTGCAATGCTGACGGCTACCTACCACCCTGCTCACTCCTGCTGTCTCATAAAGGCTTTGGGAAGGGGCCCCATACCTCACTTCAGCCTCTCTACAGAC